CAATATCGTCTATTTGTAAATCTTTTGTCCCACTGTAATTTTTTGTGTTTTTTTGCAGGGATTTTTTTAAAATAAAATCAATAGAACATTGACGCCCAGACCCGGGTGACCCCCCGAAGAGGGGAGTGCAAAAGTACCTCCGGCCGGGTCCCGCTTCTATCCCGTTTTCAAATAGAAGATATTGGCATGTTCCCATCACAAGCCCAAAAAAAGGGAAATCCCGTTTTCAAATAGAAAATATTGGCATTATTTTCCAGAAAAGCCCAAAAAGACACGGAAATCCCATTTTCAAATGAAGTTCCCATCACAAGCCCAGAAAAAACACGGAAATTCCGTTTTCAAATAGAAAATATTGGCATTATTTTCCAGAGGTTGCCATCACAAGCCAAAAAAAACAACGGAAATCCCGTTTTCAAATAGAAGATATTGGCATTATTTTCCAGAGGTTCCCATCACAAGCCCCAAAAAAAGGGAAATCCCGTTTTCAAATAGAAGATATTGGCATTATTTTCCAGAAAAACCCAAAAAGACACGGAAATCCCGTCCTCAAATGAGGTTCCCATCACAAGCCCAGAAAAAACACGGAAATTCCGTTTTCAAATAGAAGATATTGGCATTATTTTCCAGAGGTTGCCATTACAAGCCCAAAGAAAGGGAAATCCCGTTTTCAAATAGAAGATATTGGCATTATTTTCCAGAGGTTCCCATCACAAGCCCAAAAAAAGGGAAATCCCGTTTTCAAATGAGGTTCCCATCACAAGCCCAGAAAAAAACACGGAAATTCCGTTTTCAAATAGAAGATATTGATATTATTTCCCAGAGGTTGCCATCACAAGCCCCAAAAAAAGGAAATCCCGTTTTCAAATAGAAGATATTGGCAGTATTTTCCAGAAAAGCCCAAAAAGACACGGAAATCCCGTTTTCAAATGAGGTTCCCATCACAAGCCCAGAAAAAACACGGAAATTCCGTTTTAAAATAGAAGATATTGGCATTATTTTCGACAAATTGCCATCAAAAGCCAAATAAAACAACGGAAATCCCGTTTTCAAATATAAATAGAAGATATTGGCATTATTTTCCAGGGGTTCCCATCACAAAACCAAAAAAAGGGAAATCCCGTTTTCAAATAGAAGATATTGGCATTATTTTCCAGAAAAGCCAAAAAAGACACGGAAATCCCATTTTCAAATGAGGTTCCCATCACAAGCCCAAAAAAAAGGGAAATCCCGTTTTCAAATAGAAGATATTGGCATTATTTTCCAGAAAAGCCCAAAAAGACACGGAAATCCAGTTTTCAAATGAGGTTCCCATCGCAAGCCCAGAAAAAAACACGGAAATTCCGTTTTCATAGAAATATTGATATTATTTTCCAGAGGTTGCCATCACAAGCCAAAAACAACAACGGAAATCCCGTTTTCAAATAGAAGATATTGGCATTATTTTCCAGAGGTTCCCATCACAAGCCCAAAAAAAGGGAAATCCCGTTTTCAAATAGAAGATATTGGCATTATTTTCCAGAAAAGGCCAAAAAGACACGGAAATCCCGTTTTCAAATAGAAGCTATTGGCATTATTTTCCAGAGGTTCCCATCACAAGCGCAAAAAAAGGGGAATCCCGTTTTCAAATAGAAGATATTGGCATTATTTTCCAGAGGTTCCCATCACAAGCCCAAAAAAAAGGAATCCCGTTTTCAAATAGAAGATATTGGCATTATCCACAAGCCCAGAAAAAAACACGGAAATCCCGTTTTCAAATAGAAGATATTGGCATTATTTTCCAGAGGTTCCCATCACAAGCCCAAAAAAAGGGAAATCCCGTTTTCAAATAGAAGATATTGGCATTATTTTCCAGAGGTTCCCATCACAAGCCCAAAAAAAGGGAAATCCCGTTTTCAAATAGAAGATATTGGCATTGTTTTCCAGAAAAGCCCAAAAAGATACGGAAATCCGGTTTTCAAATGAGGTTCCCATCACAAGCCCAGAAAAAATACGGAAATTCCGTTTTCAAATAGAAGATATTGGCATTATTTTCCAGATGTTCCCATCACAAGCCCAAAAAAAGGGAAATCCCGTTTTCAAATAGAAGATATTGGCATTATTTTCCAGAAAAGCCCAAAAAGACACGGAAATCGCGTTTTCAAATGAGGTTCCCATCACAAGGCCAGAAAAAACACGGAAATTCCATTTTCAAATAGAAGATATTGGCATTGTTTTCCAGAAAAGCCCAAAAAGATACGGAAATCCGGTTTTCAAATGAGGTTCCCATCACAAGCCCAGAAAAAATACGGAAATTCCGTTTTCAAATAGAAGATATTGGCATTATTTTCCAGATGTTCCCATCACAAGCCCAAAAAAAGGAAAATCCCGTTTTCAAATAGAAGACTTGGCATTATTTTCCAGAAAAGCCCAAAAAGACACGGAAATCCCGTTTTCAAATGAAGTTCCCATCACAAGCCCAGAAAAACACGGAAATTCCGTTTTCATAGAAGATATTGATATTATTTTCCAGAGGTTGCCATCACAAGCCAAAAACAACAACGGAAATCCCGTTTTCAAATAGAAGATATTGGCATTATTTTCCAGAGGTTCCCATCACAAGCCTAAAAAAAGGGAAATTCCGTTTTCAAATAGAAGATATTGGCATTATTTTCCAGAGGTTCCCATCACAAGCCCAAAAAAGGGAAATCCCGTTTTCAAATAGAAGATATTGGCATTATTTTCCAGAGGTTCCCATCACAAGCCGAAAAAAAGGAAAATCCCGTTTTCAAATAGAAGATATTGGCATCATTTTCCAGAAAAGCCCAATGAAGACACGGGAATCCCGTTTTCAAATGAGGTTCCCATCACAAGCCCAGAAAAAACACGGAAATTCCGTTTTCAAATAGAAGATATTGATATTATTTTCCAGAGGTTGCCATCACAAGCCAAAAACAACAACGGAAATCCCGTTTTCAAATAGAAGCTATTGGCATTATTTTCCAGGGGTTCCCATCACAAGCCCAAAAAAAGGGAAATCCCGTTTTCAAATGAGGTTCCCATCACAAGCCCAGAAAAAAACACGGAAATTTTTCGTTTTCAAATTGGCATTATTTTCCAGAGGTTCCCATCACAAGCCCAAAAAAAGGGAAATCCCGTTTTCAAATAGAAGATATTGGCATTGTTTTCCAGAAAAGCCCAAAAAGACACGGAAATCCGGTTTTCAAATGAGGTTCCCATCACAAGCCCAGAAAAAACACGGAAATTCCGTTTTCAAATAGAAGATATTGGCATTATTTTCCAGAGGTTGCCATCACAAGCCCAAAAAAAGGGAAATCCCGTTTTCAAATAGAAGATATTGGCATTATTTTCCAGAAAAGCCCAAAAAGATACGGAAATCCGGTTTTCAAATGAGGTTCCCATCACAAGCCCAGAAAAAAACACGGAAATTCCGTTTTCAAATAGAAGATATTGGCATTATTTTCCAGATGTTCCCATCACAAGCCCAAAAAAAGGGAAATCCCGTTTTCAAATAGAAGATATTGGCATTATTTTCCAGAGGTTCCCATCACAAGCCCAAAAAAAGGAAATCCCGTTTTCAAATAGAAGATATTGGCATTATTATCCCAAATTCTCAAAACAAGATTGGCCGACTCCATTTTCAAATAGAAGATATTGTCAAACAACCAATGGGGAAGCGGAAAAGACCATTTCAAATAGAAGATATTCATTTTACCAACCCCAAATTTTCAGAACAAGATTGTGCGACAAACCATTTTTCCCCACCTGCCAGGTGAGGGTTGTTAGATTTTATGTCAGTTGCCTCCTCCTCCTCCTGCCTCGTCCTCCTCTCGTCCTCCTCTCCTCCTCCTCCTCTCCTCCTCGTCCTCCTCGTCCTCCTTGTCATCCTTGTCGTCCTCTCGTTGTCCTCGTCGTCCTCGTTGTCCTCCTCGTCCTCCTGCTCAACTGCGACTCGCGATCCACAGTGTTCGCTGCCGGACCTCAACCACGACCATCCACGCCCAGTGTTCCCTGCCGGACCTCAACCACGGCCATCCACGCCCAGTGGTCCCTGCCGGACCTCAACCACGGCCATCCACGCCCAGTGTTCCCTGCCGGACCTCAACCGCGAGTATCCATGCCAAGTGTTCCCTGCCGGACCTCATGTAGGAAGATAAAATGTCAGATAGAGTGCCAGAAGATTTGCCAGGTAGAATGCCAGAAAATATGCCAGAAGATATGCCAGATAGATATGCCAGAAGATATTCCAGAAGATATGCCAGATAGAATGCCAGATAGAATGCCAGATAGAATGCCAGATAGAATGCCAGAAGATATGTCAGATAGAATGCCAGAAGATATTCCAGATAGAATGCCAGAAGATTTGCCAGATAGAATGCCAGATAGAATAGAATGCCAGAAGATATGCCAGAAGATATGCCAGATAGAATGCCAGATAGAATGCCAGAAGATATGTCAGATAAAATGCCAGATAGAATGCCAGATAGAATGCCAGAAGATATGTCAGATAAAATGCCAGAAGATATGCCAAAAGATATGCCAGAACATATGCCAGAAGATATGCCAGATAGAATGCCAGAAGATATGTCAGATAGAATGCCAGAAGATATGCCAGATAGAATGCCAGAAGATTTTCCAGATAGAATGCCAGAAGATATGCCAGAAGATATGCCAGATAGAATGCCAGAAGATATGTCAGATAGAATGCCAGAAGATTTGCCAGTAAGAAAATGTATAAATGTCATGGTGGGGATCACACGAAGTAAAGTAATTTAAATAGAAGATATTCGGTTGGATGATCCACCAAGTTTGTGCTTTTGGTGTTGGTCTAAATGGTTTTTAAATAGAAGATATTAGTTTGGACCCTCCCGGGGCCATGGTTGCGGAGAGTGCCAAAGTAGCTCCAACATCCCGGATGTTCTACCATTTTGGGTCATTGAATTAATTTATCTTCTATTTGAAATGGATTTTTCCGCGCGTCCAAACCCGTTTCAAATAGAAGATCGGTTTTCCGACAATTCTTGATTATCTTCTATAATAACGGTATGTACTATATATTGTATACATATGCACATGTATAAATATACAGTACATACACATGTTTAAGGGCTCAGAATATCTGTATACTGTATATTAATGATTTGTAATGATAGTTCATCTGGGCCGTCTTGAACACAGGATTGAAACGAGTGGACAATCGTGGGTGATTTCATAACATGATACACAAACACAATTACCCTCTGGTAAACATAGCTATTGAAAATGGCAATTTATAGTGAGTTTTCCCATTAATAACATGGTGATTTTCCATAGCTATGTAAACGTTTACCAGAGGGTATATAACACCCCAGCAATACATGGATGATTATCTAACAAAAAAATATCCTACTAATTCGAAATCCAAACAATTGACCATCACCAAGAACTGAACTGTGCTAGATCCCATACAAGGTGGGGGCCCAAAGGATTGCTCAGTTGCTGTAGAGTGCCAGAAAAAAGGTGATGGTAGATATATCCGCTGGTAATGAATTTCTTTTTCCCATGGATTTTTATGGAAGAATCCATGGTACCCATGGAAATCATGGAAAAATCCATGGTTTTTCATGGGTAAAATCCATGGGTTTTTCATGGGTAATCCATGGATTCTTCCATAAAAATCCATGGGTAACTCATGGAACAAAGTTTTGGCCACTTCCAAGGCAAGCATCCGAGTCCCCCATGGAGAGCGTCAGGCCCGAGTCAGCTGGTTTTTCGATGGGCCAAAATGGTGTTTTTTTGGGGAGTCACTGAGGAAATACGTCACGTGTTTTTTCACGTGTTTTTTTTCACGTTGTTTTCCACGTTTCTTTCACTTTGTGTGTGTGATTTCAACATATTTCTATGGGAATTTCCATGGTAATGTCTATGTAATATCCGAGAAGCATATATTTTAAAGAGCTCTGGTTGAGGGGTTGGAATAGTCACACGATGAACATTTTCTACATGACATGATCAGGCGAGCGGCGGAAGAACTGGAGGCCACTGCAGTTCCTTGGCGAAGTTCAGAGCGTAACTTTCACGGAGTGCATCCAGAAATATTCAATGCTTGTGTTATGATCCACACACATATAAATATAATATGTAAATATAATATATACAATTATATATACATAGATAATATACACATATATATATATATATATTATGAGTTAAATAATATATATATATATATTCTAGCCTTCTTGTTGCCCATGGTTGTTGGTTGTATTCTGATCTTTGTTTTGTATCCCCTTTAGCCAGATCCCCATGATGAACATAAACCATCTTCCCCATACGTGTCCACTGTATCGGTTGATCTTCCAGTTTTCATCATCAAAACCGGGTGATTGGTAAACCCTGCTGGTGAATATACTTTCAGCCAGGTCCCTCGGTCCCTCGGCCATACATTGGTTGAAACAATCAATTAGAACTAAATCCACCATGAATCCAATCCTCTGCCTGGTTACAAACCGAATTTCCTATCTAAGGTGGCCCTTTCCTCTTGTAATCTTCTCAAGAATCCCAATGTTTCAAGCTTAACTGCCACTTTTTGATGATGAAATCCCAATTTCTAATGCTGAAATCCCACATTTTGCCAGTTTTAATCGCAGTTTTTGATTCTTAACTCCTGATTTTTGCCAGTGGAATCCACATTGTTTCATGGGTGAAACTTGGTGCTATGAACGCCGTGCGTTCATGACCATTTAGGATTTCCAAAGTCATTGTCGGCACCTTGGGCACCACAAGCATAGACGTAGCATCAACTAATTGATATATAGAACGCAAGTGCACGAACATTACTGCCCCAACCCACTTCAAGCCAACCCCACCCCAAGTGTATGACGTAGGCCCAACAAAAGTATACAGTATTGAGTACGCAAGTGCAAGGACGTTTTTGCCCCAACCCCCCCAACCAACCCCACCCCAAGACGAACGCACGGCACCTTTTAGGTGCACGAAAGCACGGCTGCATCCAAAGTGGCACAGGGCAAGTTGCTGGCACGGCACGAGGCACGGTGGATGTAAAGTCGGGGTGCCACAGAAATTACCGGTTTTACTGCTACGGGATTTAAGCGTGAAAAGCTGGTTTTGTGTTTATGGGATTTCATTTGAGCTCATTTGCCTAGAGAAGTGGCTGTGGCGGTTTTGTAGGATTGAGACACTAAAATTGACGTGATGTCTATTTAAGGAATGAAAACTTGGAAGGGAACCAACAATACTTGAAGATGTTTGGCCAGCAACAAATGGAGGCTTTAAGATGCTTTAAGCAAGGTGTGTTTGATTCCAAGTGGGACCCTAAACAGATCTTGATGTTTTTTCCCAACCAAATCTGAGGCGTGGACCCAACAAATGGTGCAACAGTCGGTTTTAGGTGGTTGAACCGATGGAAAAACCTAGCAGCAATAGCTGGAGGCCCCTGATCACTGACATGCCTTTGAAGAATGGGCAAATCGTGATCGTTCTTCCATTGATTGGCATTATTATAGTATGGATTTGTCAAACATGCTAAAAAAACATTGTGTTGTTTCCAAGGTCCCGTTCATCCTTTTTCACGAGCATTCCAAATGATGAAGCAAGGAATAAGAAATCGAATTCTCAGGAATCGATATCCCAAAGACCAGACTTGTTGGACATAGATTTTGATTTTCCTTGAGGCCGCGACCATTTTGTTCAAAAAGTGGATCCAATTGGAATGGGTGAAAAACACATTTTGAATGGATTGGTTTAAGGGAAAAGATACAGGAAACCATAGATTTTCCCATTAAATATGGGGTTTTCCTGTAAAATTTCCCTTAAACCAATCCATTGACATTTTGGAAAGGGTCATCCCAGTGTCATTCGATCCAACATAGATCACCTTTGGAAAGCAACCGCTTTGTTGGATGATATATGCCATGAAATATCTCCGATGACCATAAAATGGCTGGTTGAATTCCTATTGTATACATATATATATACGTATATATATACACATATACATATGTAAAATGTATATATATGTATATATATATGTATATGTATATGTGTATATATATAATCACTACTTCAAAACGTGTAAAAATAGCCATAGGTGCTCCGAAAAAAAACATCCCAATTTCTTGGTTCCCTTTTTTGTGGGTGAAATCCCAATCAAAGCAGTCCGTTCCGATACTGAAATCCCATGATTTTGGGCAAATTTAACCATTAAACCAATCATTCCACCAATCATTGACAAACAATTATTGATTGGTTTACAATGGGATAATAGTATATAATTAGTAGTATTTTACAATAGTTGAAGCAATCATTCAACCAATCATTGACCAATATTCACCAATCGTTTTCTGACTTCCCATGATTTTCTGCTCCAATCTTTCGAGGCAGCTTTGGCCGACGATGCCCAAGAGGACTTGTCGCCGCGCCGGAGATTCCGGTAGATTCAGGGACTTGTCGCCGACTTCACGAAGAAAAAATATGATGACTGGTGGTTTCCTAAGTCATAGGGGTACAAAAACAGTCATCATCCATTTATATATAGATGGATTTTCCCATGGAAATCGTCACCATTCAGCGATATTTTGGGGTACCCCCATGGCTATGGAAACCTCCATGACTGGGAATGGGTCAAAAGTGAAGACTCCCCAGGGACAGATTGACTTGAATGGATTGACTTGTCTATTTTTAGTGCCATCCAATTATTGGGATACCCAATGACTTGACACCCCCATTGAAAGCTATGAAGACTTCATTAAAAAAACACGCCCCCAAAATGGAAAAGGTCCAATCTCTCACTCTTTTCGGTTTGGATTTTGCATTTCTCCCCTTTTTTGGGTCACTATAAATGTACATAGATAGGATATACTGGGAGTTTGAGTAACCAACAATGGAGATCCAACCATTTGCTGCCCATATGGGGGAATCGAAGTTGACAATGGGAAGAATACCATCTTTTTAGACAAAACAGGACAAACCCAACGTGGCAATTTCTGGATGGGGAGGAGGATCGTGGTCCATTTGACCCAGGGAAGATCCCTTTGAGCCCAGCGTGCTCAAACGGGCTTCGGATATCTTCGGATGGTGGTCATTTCGCTTGGTTGGCCCGTTGTTAGATTGGAAGTCAACATACTATGATACCACATATATACATACTTATATACATGATATATGAAGCACCACCTGACCTAAGATACCTAGTTTTGAAAGTATGTTGATTTTGAACCACAACCATACAACAATATGGGTCAACAGTCCTCAACGCAAGAGGTGACAGGTTCGTCATTGTAACCGGCATCGCCTGGGACCTTGATCATCTACAAGACAGATTTCCTGCTAAAAATAAAACATGTAAAAACTAAAGATGCTAAGACCCGGAGATGATTTTTGAAGAGAATTCCAGATTTCTGACTCGTTTGCGAAGCGTCAATCTTCAGGAGTGGAGGGCGCTGCGTGTGCTGCAGGGCTTGACATATTTGGCAGGAAAACATGAGAAGATTCTGCAGGACGGGCCCGACTGGGCTGTCTGGCGAGTTACTCATACCACTTGGGGAACTGGGGAAAAAGGTGAAAAATCACGGGGTTGTCTTTTTCACAACAAAGATACCACTTGAATGTCCGAACACCTTTCTTTTTGAGGCAAGATTTATGCCAATTTTGGTGGGGACAATGTTGGTTTGTACAACCACATTTTTTTGGGGGGTCACCCATCATTTTTGTTAATGAGCTCGTAGCAAAAATGACCAGGCGCACATGGGGGTATTGAGGAATGCTGAGATTGACTAGTCAGAACAGACAGGGTAGACGCAATGAATATACTACATATCAGAATCTGAATATATATATATCTGTATTGTGTGTATTCACTAGATAATTACATAAATATCAGCTATTAAATTCACATGTTTCACACATAAATTAATGCATATCCCATAATAAATATTCACACATGATTATGTTTCACACATATTATACATTACACATAATTACATGAATTCCCATGTTTCTGTTGTGTGGGTCAAAAATGATTGGTGGCTCCATGGGTCCCATCCCACAGGAGGATGAAAGACGCGTGAAGGACTACCAGGTGCTGATCTCACAGGAGAACAACGAACTCAGTTGTTGTTACCCAAGCTGGTTATGACTAACAGTTTGCCATGGTATAGATGGTCCATAGAAATAGATGGTGTTTACCCATTAAACAGGGTGGATTTTCCATGGCGAACTGTTAGTCATAACCAGATGGTAATTATAGTGATGATACCGTGTATCAATGGTCATATTCTAACTAACGACTCAATGTTTTTGCCCCTGGCAGGTGCAGTTGAATCGGGTGGAACGTTGGAAGGACTCGGCGCGGCACTTGAAAGAGGTCACTGACGCACTCCGTGAGGTTGTGAAGTATGGAGGGGTTGAACTATCAATGAGTGGTTCAACCCACCATAATTGTGAAATGGTGGGTTAAACGATGGGTTTAACCATCATCTATTGTGGTTTAACTATCGAATAAATGATTCCCATTAATGGTGGGTTTAGCTTTAGCTAGGGAAACGGCTTATTTAATGGGAATGCTATAGTGACTGTAATGGAATAAGCGGGGGATTGTATTGGATATTATGGATAAGAATCTGGATAATTAAATTAGTTCACGACTGAACCCTGCGTCGCTGGAACTATGATTACTGCGTATATCCCCATTAAATCTCATTAAAACCTACAGTTTTCCACCTTTTTCGGCTGTCAGGTGGCAGGTGAAGTGGCTGCGCAAGAACAGAAGGTCCGAAAAGTTTCCCAATTTGGCTGAGATTGCCATGATGCGAGGGTGATTTACAGTACTGTGGTAAAACCAATGCCATAAACCATGCCCAAAATCTCCAATTTTGTGGATGGTATAAACCATCCCCAAATGATAGATTTAGCTAATTGGGTTTCCCACATTCGCTGCTTTTTACCTCTTAAATCAACCATTCAAAGTTGAGAAATTGGGACCTTTGGTGTCTTGGCTACAGTATTTTGTTCAAAGAAGATAAACTTATGAGAATCTTACAGCCACAGACTGAGTCCGGACCAAGGAATTATTTTATCTGATAAACTATAGCTGAATTTCACACATTTCACACATCACTGTTTCAGTGAAGAATGTGAAGAGATTTTCCATACTCGAAGTCCTCAGAATTTTTAGCAGATTCCCAGAAAATCCATCCACTGGGGCTCGAAAGTCGATGCTCCTGCGACGACTTTCGAGGGCCTGGCGGCCTGCAGCTCACAAGCTGATGTTTTTTATAAGCTATGGCAGCTATGGATATGTTTCTTCCAACTGAACTGAACTCCAGGTGAACAAATATTGCGTTGAAATATGTTGAAATCATGATTTGTCACCAGTTGTTGATGAACTGCGATTGTCAGGGTTTGAGCCCGCAGCTACTGTGAAGAGGTCACCATTTCCCTCCAGCAAAAATATTGGATGGTAGCAACGCTTTTTCAGCAGTTCCCAAGTGGATCGCAGAAATTCGTGATGGAACCCCAAAGTGAGCAGGAATCCAATAGAAAACCCATCTCTCAACGCATTCTCGCGGGTGCCACCTTAAATTCAAGGGTATGGAAAATTTCTGTTACAGAGGCATACAATGTGCTGGACAAATCAAAGACCGGATATCTCCCCCTTAGCCACAAATTCTTTTCGCCTAGTTTTTTTTTTCTACACCCCACTGGTTACCTCACTTAAAACAGGTCCACTTACTTTTTTTTAATCGCTCTGTTCGGGAGCGCAGCCTGCACATTCTTGTTGTCCAAACTTTCAGCCTTTTTTTCCTGGCTAAATTGTCATTACAATTTTCTTCTAGCCCCCCCTTGTGAAGCCTTTCTTCGCAGCTTTTGAAGGTGTCTTTGGAAGCTCAGGAGAGGAGGCGGACGCCTTGAACACTGGAGGTCTATACAATTCATGTTTTAACTTGAATCATGATATGAATAGAATAGATATGAATGGTATAGACATGATTGTACCATTTATGATATGAATAGGCTAATCAATCTAATCCTGAGATAAGACAAATTATAGCTCTTTTTTGAGGAACACCCAGGATGATTCTTATCCATTCAGGAGGACATCATTTGGGTGTTGGGGACATGTCATAATCGTTGTGGAGGACATGAACGGGGATCCCTATCGAATGAACTTGGAAGATGACTTTTCTTGTTTTGGATCGCACTGGCACCAAATTCTTCGTTTCTATCACACACTATCACTACTCTTGTAATTGCAATTTTCAGAAGTCTAGAGAGTCAATTGTGATGTCAGTTGTGATGTCTAGAGTAAAGCCCGAATTTGGCAACCAGCAGGGCACTGTTTCAGCTGACATCAGCAACCAGCATATCGTCTTGTTTCAAGCTTTGGGATGGCTTTCTTCGCCAGGCAAAGATTGGGAAAGCATGGCTCAGCCGATGGCGCCATCTGAAGAAAGCTACCCAGAAAAATCTGACCAACATCACCCAGGGAAAATGACTGGAATATGTCTATTTTGTGGGGGTTCCTGGCCTATTTTTGGAGAAGCCCAGATGGTTTGACGACCGATGTCTCACGGCCGCCAGCGGGCGCGGGGCGAAAAAGGATCGATCTGTTGACTGCGCCAGGTGGAGTCCATGCGATCCTTGGGGCGGAACCATAAATTGATTTGGGGATTTCACGACAATTCGAGATGAACATGAGGATGTAAAAATGACATTTTTGTGGGGTCAATAGCCTCAAAAATTCGGATTTCGCTAAGACATTGTGGGAATTGAAGCGAAAAATGGGGCCCGGGCCATGCTCCTACTATCCTCCAGCCTGGTCCTGTTTGTGGATGGTGATTTTCCGAGAAATCGCCAGATTCGATTGAGAAAATTTAGGGCAGCCAGTGGCTGCCACTATCATTGCTGCTTGGTGGTTTGGAACATTTTTTTATTTTTCCATTCAGTTGGGAATAATGATCCCAATTGACACATATAAATTTCAGAGGGGTTGAAACCACCAACCAGATTGGTATCTCACAATTTTGGCACAAAGAGCCACATTTTTGCTGGTGAAATCCAAAGTTGCAAAGGACCTCCCAATCTCCCCCGAAGGAACGTCCCCCCCGTGCAGGCGCAGGGGCGGTCGCGCGCCAAGCTCTTTTGTGAGACAAAAGAAGAGGCACCGAGAAACCAACAGATTTCTTAGGTTGGGAATATCATGGGCACATTGGCATCATGGGAATTCGAACACAATGGGAATGGGAAATTATATGGGATAAGAGCGTTTTTCCTGAGTATAGCAACAGACATATCTGGATGTGGCACCTGAAAATGGGGTTTGTTAAAACCCTACGGAAAATGATGGCTTTCCAACGGGATTTGGGGGGGCACAAATAATAGACAAACACAGATATCTAATACATAAGGATTGATAAATTGCATTGAAGGAAGGATCTGTTTTTCATGGTTTTTCAAAGGAATCTCTTTCCCCTAAAAATCGACCTGTTATTTCGATTTTGACCAGCGAAGATCGGAACTTCACCAGGAATCGGGGATTTCACCAGCAAAAAAGTGAGGATCTGTTGGTTGTTTTCCGGTTACCAGTAACACATGGAGACTTCACCAAGCGAAACGGTGGATTTCGCCAACATGGCGATGGGGATTTTCGCGAAAATGGAGAGTTCACCCCGCCAGGCGGAACATATCCCTGAAGGGAGGCGAATCCCTCTGCTGATCGCTTCTATGGGTGGCTCGGCGGGCGATGCAGGATGCGGATGCTCAAATATGGAGAGCTACCCCCATTTTGTGGTGGATTTCCATGTGGAAAACTGACCGCCAAGACATGAAGGTTTGCCTTAGTTGACCACCAAAATGGGTCAAAATGGGAGATTTCTGCAACAATTTTCGTTGAATACCTCAACCTTGGATGGTTTCATACCAAGACTGACGCGACACTCCGGCCAAAAACCACCTTCTTTGGTCCGTTGGTACCTGATGTTGAGCCATACTTGACTTGTATTTCAAGGATGGGAGGCTCACCAAATAAACATATATATATATATGGGTATATATAGTCTGACTGACTGAGAGCTCTTTGCAGTGATTGAGGGCTCTTAACCAGACTATCCCGATATATAATATATAATAATATATATTTTAAGATATTATAATATATTAAATAATTAATCATAATATATATTATAATTAATATTAAAACATCATGTGGCCTTGGCTGATTCAAGAAGCACTGCCATGGAATCATGGAATCCCTGGGAATCCCTGGTTTCGGATTAGGGTCAAATACCAAGAACTTTTGGGGTAAACATTTGGATCACCAAAACCAAGATTTGGATAGAAAAGGCAACATTTTTCTTTGGGGTCTTGGTTTAGACATGTTTAGACAAAGACAGACTTGCCGACTGTCTTCTAAACTGTCGAAAAAACTCCGAAGTTTTGCCAGGAAAAATAAGTCCGTTTTCGAGTCGCTTCGAAAGAAAGGTTCCAGTCGAGATACAAAAACCCAGCTTCACCCAGGTTCCCAGATGTGGATATTTTTTCACCCACCACTCGGACCCTGATCTGATGACCTCCCAGGTAAAGACGTTTTTGAGGAGGTCCGTTTGATAGTGGCTGCAGCGTTGGAAGTGCTGCGAATTTTGTTTTGGGACCCAACAACAATAAACTAGGCTTCCCTGGATACTGTATTTTGCCAGGAACGACAGAACCCCTCTTATGACGACCTGCCGGAAATGTCCTCCACCCATTCAGCTGGTTCTGGTGGCACCAGCCGGGGCCTGTTGAATCTCACCGGAATTGTCCCAAAAAAAGATGACACTCAACTTACGTGGGCTTGGAATATGGCATGTTGAGTCATCCAGGGCCAATCATAAGTGGGTCAAGGCTACATTAGGTCATCCTTATGTGAGTTGCCAGCAACGCCTCATGCCTCGTGGTTTTTCTGATTCTGGACCCACACCGATGCTTTTTCCATGAGCATCATGACTTATCCGATAGATGGGAAAACACATATACCATCTGGTTATTTAACATAGCCATGGTATAGATGGCCCTAATCAAAATAGATGGTTTACCGAACTTAAAAATGGATGGATTTTCCATGGTTTACCTATGTTAGTCATAACCAGATGGTACAATATGGAGGTTTTATTCCAATCTTCTTTGATCCAGCTGATCCAAAATAAGTCGAAGTGTCCTGCGACACCTGCGACATCCTCATCAGGCCAAGAAAAGCGAGAGAAAGACCATGCAAACCCTCCATAGGCGCGACCGCCCGTGTCCGCTTAAAGTTTGTAACCTGGGGATGGGTTACAAGCTATATCAACTATTTTCTTACTATGTCAGAAGGAATTCACACATCCATTTTCCAAGGATTCTACCAGGGGTTGGGTTTTGACCTTTGACAGATTTAAGGGTAATGGTCCCTTTTTTGATGTTCCAAAAGCAAAATCAAGGCTATACCTCAGTGTTATTTTTTGCCACTGTTGCAAGAATTTTGGTGTCTCAGTGTTGCGAGACATGCGGATTTTGGATCCTTTCCCAGTCCAACCAAGAGCCAGATTTTGGGATATGTTATGGGCTATGCACCCTCAGCAGTTGCTGGGTAGTAGTTTTGTATTTCGACAAACACACTTCCCAGAAGAAAAGCATTTGGAGACTAAGCTACATAAGGATTTGGAATCATATCAATTTCAGTTTATGCAAGACATACTGTTCTATTTTTTTGATTTTATGTTCAGACGGGACCAGTTTTCGGTTTTTAGAGTTCTTTGATGAAAAATTATTCGACAGATCGCCATCGCACTAATCCGGTGTCTTTGCCACAACACATGGTCTGATGTTTCTGGGGATTAACAAGGCGAACAGCCAAGTTTTGTGATGGGTATTTAAGCAACAAAGATAACAAAGTCAAGGTTTGATGAGAAAACACACATTGAGTTTATATTTTTTTCCTGAGCATCTCAGCCTCGAAACCTGCACCACCCCTGCAGCAAAATCGAGGCAACGGCAACAGACCGTTGAACAGGACGAAGGGGTCACGTCAAACTGGTGTAGTTCTTTTTCAGGATGGCAGGTACCAAACTCAGGAGACCAGAGATATTTGGCAAGTTCTCACTGCTACACTATATGATAGAATGAGCACCATAGTATACCGTCCATAATTGCTATGATTCCCAGGGAACCTTGGTTGGTTGATGATTCGTTGATTTTCATACTACCCAATATGTTGAGGAATCATCAATGGATATCTATTACCCAATATATATATATATGTATATATATATGTATATATATATGTATATATATATATGTATATGTATATATATAATATTATATCCATATGGGAACATGAATAGTGTAAGACTATATACACCTATGGGAATCTCCTTCTGAAGCAAGAGGATTTTAACATCGAATGACATCATGGTGGAGTTCTGATCAAATTACAGTTTTCCCCTCTGGTAAACTAACATAGCTATTGAAAATGGCCCAGTCGAAATAGTTGATTTACCCAGCTATAAAATTGTGGATCTTTCCATAGCTACGTTAGTTTACCAGAGGGTACCGTCTTACTTACTGCATTTGTTTTCTTTTATTAGAGCGTTCCTTGCTACAGTATGATCACTGAAACTGGTGGAGTATGGTGGAGTTATGGTCCCAGACCCCGGAATTGCTGCAGGGAAAGAGTTTTTTTTTTTTCGTGGAGTATGGTACTTTCGGTGGATATCGGGGCAAGTCATTTTGGTCAACACTTCCATGAATTTTTCGCAGCTTGCGCATACTCGTTCCAACAACTCTGGTTGCAATCAAGTATGTTAAAATGTCAGCTCAAAGAAAGATGACATTCCCAAAAAAAACACAATTGAATACAATAGAGACGAAGCAACTTGGCCTCTTAAATTCCATCATCGGGTCACATTCTGAAATAAATTCAGAGGATTCCAGAGGTCGCCAGGTATCACCAACATTTGAATCTGTCACGTAGCTGATCCAGCGCTCGAGTCGAAGTTTAGCACGCGTGACGCCGTGACGCGCTTTGAGAAGCGGATCTTTGCCGGAAAGCCATGTTGTTTGCGCTCATCGAGCAACTCTTCCCAGAGACTGAGGTGGCGACGGGGATGCGTTTTGGAGATGTCTTGAAGGTTAGAACTTCAAAACAGGTGATATCGTGCCCTGTTTGGCAAAATGTTTACCCACCAATAGTTTCAACCATGTTTAACATAGACAAAACAAAAACCCACCGTATTTGTGGATCATTGTCTTGGGTTAAAACCGAGGGGTTTTCCAGTTCTCGAATCACTGGAAGTTGGAGTTTCTAAAGTGATCCAAGATTGGAACTGCAAAAGCTGAACTTCGGGATTTGTAACAATTTTTCGGCTGTTACCAAGCTTCGATCAATCTTGAAGTTTGTGACCAAATGACCAACATTGACGGGGGAACATCTATCTACATCATATATATATATATTTTTTCAGAGGGGTTGAAACCGCCAACCACATATATATATATAAATAGATATCCACTGCCGTGTTTGATCACCGGATGGGAAAGCATGTTTTCTTGATGTAATTCTCATTTAGCGATTGGTAAATCAAGTTTTTTTTTTGGAATTTATTTAAATATATGTTTAAAGCATGAAGCTCCTATCATCATTCGGTTCACGTGAAAATTCCTAGGACCTACGACTGGTGAGATTTGTGAAAAATGTCCCCATCGATGACCAGCTGATGGTGAAGCCTCCTGTTTTGGAGCGAAAAGTCATGGTTAAAGCTGGTTAAAGCTGGTTAAAGCTGGTTAAAACACCATTTTTTTCTGGTTCAACCACCATTTTTCCTGGTGAAATCCGGTGGCATTTTTCCCCTGACGGTGGTGGAATCCGTGCCAGGCCCCGGTCACGGTGTCGGCACCGAAGCGAGGCCATGGGGCCTGTCATTTCCTCAACAAAAACGAAGCCAAACAATCCCCAAGAGCGCAAATTTCGAGAATTTCTCTAGTGACTTGAAAATTTGATGTTTGGGTTGGTGATTCTTGGTGATGTTTTTCATGTGTTTTTCAAGCATTCTGGTGGCAAAGAATGGGAGAATCTAGCGACGGGATCGTATTGTATCGTTCGAGCTATGGGTGGAATGAAACATTGATCCACGCGATGACAGGAAACCAATTGTGTTAGTGTTACCGTTGAGCAGTTCGGGCTGTAGACGTCTGCGTGTTTTCCAAATTTTTGGGTGCTGGCTCCTCTTTTCGGTACAGATGAGCTGAGAGCCACTTCAGGGGCTGGAGCATAGAATGTGAGCGTAGGAATCATTGAAGCGACAGAGCTGTCAATGAAATTTCCCAGTTGCCTGCAGCACCTGCAAACCAAATTGATTTCCTTTAAGAACACGTTGCAGAAAAATCAGCAGCAATGTTGAAGTTCAGATTTGAAGCACAGTGAAGGAACTTAAATAGCTAGGAAGTGGTCTGCAAGACTTTATGTTCAGATCCTGATATAATGGATAGAAGCATAGATGTATATGCAAAAATATATGCGACGCATGGGATCAGATGGCAGGTGCTAGACAAATTCTGATTATGTTTGATCCACGTCGTTTTCGTTGCCATGCATTTTTTGTATTGTATTGCCGCAGTATTTTAACGCAGATCTGTCACATTTTCAGCCCTGCGCCCCACGCCCTTGAATCACTTTTGTTGCAATGGCTCCTCGCAACACCATCTTGGCAGCTGCCGGCCTTGTCGCCGGTGGTTACGTGGCCACGCAGGCATTTGTGCCAAGTGCTTCCGGGCCTGTTGTGAGCACTGAAGCCGTGGCCAACTTGCGTGGTGCCTCAGCTGCCCCATCGCAGGGATTCGGCAGCGCACTGCCGCTGATGGGCCTCGTTGGCGTCGGAGCCGTGGCTGCTGGACGCAGCCGCATGGCCCGACGAGCTGAGCCCGTGTCTGCTGCTGCCGCTGCCGCTGCTGCTGCAAAAGCAGCTGCTGCAGCCAAGGGAGCGACTGCAACCACCTCAGCTGTTGCAGGCTCTGCTGGTGTTGGCTCCTTGAAAAAGGGAGAGGAAACCGTTGCAGGCAAGGGTGGAGGAAGTTCAAGCTTTGACCCTGCTACCCAGATTGGCGCTATGGCTCCTTTGGGCTTCTTTGACCCGGTAGGGTTTTGCAAGAAGGGCGATGAGGCCGGATTCCGCAACCTTCGTGCTGCTGAAATCAAGCATGGCCGCGCTGCGATGATGGCAGCCCTTGGTGCAGTGGTGCAACACTATGTGAAGTTCCCTGGCTTTGAGTCTGTTCCAAGTGGCCTTGCTGCTTCCATCACAGCTCCAGGAAGCTATGGCTTTGTGGCTCTTTTCGCTGTGGCTGGCATCCTTGAGTTGGGCGCGTGGACTGAGAGTGATGACAAGGAGCCAGGAAACTTCGGTGACCCCCTTGGCCTGAACCAGTACAACCAGGAAATGAGAGACACTCAATTGCAGTGAGAGATCAAGGTAGATGCCTTAAAGAAAGCGCATCCCCAGTTCAAGGTGGGTAGCATATCAGGGGTCTTCACTGTATTTCACAACAAGTGCAGAGTCACTTCTAGCATCCTGCCCCAGATTCTGTTTGGTTTCTGGCTAGCTGGATTCATAGCATGTTTAACGGCAACCATACTGAGGAGCGTGAGATTAACAACGGCCGCTTCGCGATGTTCGCGGCTATTGGCATCATTGCCGCGGAGCTGTACACGGGAAAGGATGCCGTTGAGCAGTTCGGGCTGTAGACGTCTGCGTGTTTTCCACATTTTCGGGTGCTGGCTCCTTTTTTTGGTACAGATGAGCTGAGCGCCACCGAACATGGTATACATGATGTTGTGGCCGTGGTCGGTGAAACTTTTCTTAGTATCTAATTTTCAGCGGCTGGAGTATAGAATGTGAGCGTAGGAATCATTGAGGCGACAGAGTTGTCAATGAAATTTCCCAGTTGCCCGCAGCACCTGCAAACCAAATTGATTTAAAAGAAAAAATCAGCAGCAATGGTGAAGTTCAGATTGAAACACAGTGAAGAAACTTAAATAGCTAGGAAGTGGTTTGCAAGACTTTGTGTTCAGATCCCAATATAATGTATAGATGCATAGATGTATATGCAAAAATATATGCGACGCATGGGATCAGATGGCAGCTGCTAGACAAATTCTGATTATGTTTGATCCACGTCGTTGTCGTTGCCATCCATGTTCCCCCAACAGCGTAAGCTTGGGGTCTTCAGCCATAGTAAAGGTCCCAGAGCCGGTCGGAGCAGCCAAATCCGCACCGCGCAAGGTTGGGAACCAGGTTCCCAAGAAGGGGTCTCCTTTTCCAAGAGAAACCCAAGCAAGGGTTCCCAGGTTCCCAGGAACAGGTTCCCAGGAACAGGTTCCCAGGAACAGGTTCCCAAGCAAGGTTCCCAGGAACAGGTTCCCAAGCAAGGTTTTTAAGAGGTTCCCAAGAGGTTCCCCCAAGCAAGGTTCCCAGGAAGAGGTTCCCAAGCAAGGTTCCCAGGAGGTTCCCAGGAACAGGTTCCCAGGAACAGGTTCCCAAGCAAGGTTCCCAGGCAAGGTTGCCAGGAACAGACTCCCAAGCAAGGGTTCCCAGCAAGAGGTTCCCAAGCAAGGGTTCCCAAGAAGAGGTTCCCAAGCAAGGTTCCCAGGAAGAGGTTCCCAAGCAAGGGCTCCCAGGAAGAGGTTCCCAGGAACAGGTTTTGCAAGCACGGATTTCAGGAACCGTTTTCAAGGTTTCCAGGAACCGTTTCCCAAGCAAGATTTCCAGGAACATGTTTTTCCAAGCAAAACAAGGTTCGCAGAACAGGTTTTCAAGCAAGTGTTTCCAGGAAGAGGTTTCCAGGAAAAGGTGTCCAAGCAAGGTTCCCAGCAAGTTTCCCCAAGCAAGATTTCCAGGAACATGTTTTTCCAAGCAAAACAAGGTTCCCAGAACAGGTTTTCAAGCAAGTGTTTCCAGAAGAGGTTTCCAGGAAGAGGTGTCCAAGCAAGGTTCCCAGCAAGCTGGTTCCCAAGCAAGGTTTTCAGGAAGAGGTTCCCAAGCAAGTTTCCCAGCCACAGGTTCCCAGGAACAGGTGCCCATACAAGGTTCCCAAACAAGTTTCCCAAGAACAGGTTCACAAGTAAGGTTCTCGGAAAAAGTTCCCGGGCAATGTTTCCAACAAAAGGTTCCCAAGGTTCCCAGGAACAGCTTCTCAAGCAAGGTTGCTAGGAAGAGGTTCTCAAGCAACGTTCCCACAAAAAGGTTCGCAAGCAAGGGTTCCCAGTTGCTCCTGGAAATTTTGCTTTGGAACAAGCTCTTCCTGGGAACGCTTGCTTGAGAACCTGTTCCTGTGAGCCTTGTTCCCTCTTGGAACCTTGCTTGGAAACGGTTCCTGGGACCTTGCTTGGGAACCGTTTTTGGGAACCGTACTTGCAAGCGGTTCCTAAGAACTTAACCTTGCTTGGGAACCTTTTGCTGGGAACTTGCTTGGGAACGTTTTTCCCCAACAGCGAAAGCTTGGGGTCTTCAGCCACCCCAGGAACAAGATTTTCAATCAAATTTTCCAGGAACAGGTTCGCAAGCAAGGTTACCAGGAACAGGTTTCCAAGAAAAGGTTGCAAAAAAGGTTTCCAAGAATAGGTTCGCAAGCAAGGGGTTTCCAGGCAAGGTTCCTGGGAACAGGTTTCCAAGCAAGGTTCGCAAGACCAGCCAAACTTATCATCGATGAGATGGTGATGAAACAGAGGCAATGACTTGTTGTTTCATACCTCAAGCATAACCACAAGTCCCACCGAAAAAAAAAGGTGACCAAGTAGGTCATGTTCCATTGCTAATTAATATGGCCAGAGGAACATGTTGATCAATATATATATATATTTAATTTAATATAATATAGTAATATAATTGCTAATATATTGCTAATTTCCCATTGGTCAAGTAGGTCATGTTCAATGACCAGTGGATCATTTCCCCTCGGCGATTTCTGGCGCCGTTGCGCCAGGGGGGTTTGTGAGACCACCACGAGTTCCACCTCTAAAACTCTGGGAGATCTCTCGCTCGGAGTCAACTGAGGCGGGCGCCCTAGGGTACTGCCCCAGTGTTAACTTGTATAACTAGGTAACTAGGCATGGTGAATATATGATATATCTCTGGTGCATGGGGTTTGTAAAACGGACTTGTAACTGGGGAAAAGCACTTTCTAGTGGAATGGTCACGTGGTCCAAGCCCCATGCCCCAGGATCCAAATGCCTCAGGAGGCAGTTGGATTTGTGAAACCCGTATAACAAGCTATGACTCTATGATTTCTATGATTGTAATTAAGTGATTTGTTGCAACAAAAAACCTATGGCAATGGCAAATGGCTTAATCAAACAAACGCCTTTGTGGATTCACATGCGTGATACTTATATGTATGTTGCTACGTGTTCGGGGGTAAACACGAAAACACCGGCATTCACAACGCAGCTTGGGCTTAAGGGCATTATATGTGGAACCATAAACCCCACTGTGACTGCCCGGTTTGCTATAGCTTGCCCCGAATCTTCCAGCTGATCGGCACTGGTACGGGGCTGCCAGACTACCCAGCTTACGTGAGTGTGCTGGGGAGTCACTTGAGGCACCTGGAGGGGGAACTCAGGGACGAGGTAGCCCGGAGGTTCCCAGGGGTTGGACTTTTCAACGAGACCAGAGTTGCGCCACCAGCTCAGGGTCCAAAAGGGGAGACAAGAGCAGTCTCCCAAGCCAACCCGCCGAGCAAAGGGCCGTCACAACCTTTGCAGCTGGCAACTAAGGTACCACCTCCAGTACCGCCTCCTCAATTGACAGCCCCAGGAAGTAGCGGGGACAAGCCAGATCGACGAGGATCCGGAGACAGTCACAAAAGTCCAAAAGCAGCTGAGAAGAAAGAAGTCACTACCTCATCACCCCGAAGAAGGTCCAGAAGCCGAGAAAGAAGGCGAAGTCCTCGAACCGAAGACAAAAGAAGGGGAGTACACAGGACTCCCAGCCCTCGAGCTGCCCCCGAAAGGAAAAGAAGCAAGGATCGAGATCGAAAGCGGCGAAGGAGCACCTCATCACGTGAAAAGAAGTCGGAAGGAGGCAAAGAGAAAAAGCGACACCCTGAGAAGCCACCAGAGCCGGCTTTTCCCCCTTCTCATCGAGGAGGAGCAGATTACTGGGGACCACGTGAACCCAATTACCCACCGCCGGCTCGACAAGGCCGTGGTTGGGTCGGCGAATTGCCTGTGTCCACGCATCCTAGGTGGACGTCCTCCGAGAACAAGGGACAAGTAAAGAGGGCCAAACAGGAGCTTTTCAACAGAAGGCAGCGTCGCTAGCAAGGGGAGCAATGGCTCCCAAGGTTGGCAGAGGAGTTCTGAGGAGGCCAGCAGTAGCGCCAGGAGTGATGCGAAGACCTGCCCGTCAAGGAGCCGCTGAGGAGGTTGAGAGCAAGGTCAAGAAGTTCTCTGAGGTGGACGTGAAGGGCCTCTCGAAGTTGGGAGCCGTGGTGCTTCAAGAAGCCAGGTACTATGGACAGCCTGCTCCCATAGCGGGGCACTTCAAAGGTCTCAACATGGAAGGCGAGAACGTCTTCGTGAAGTTGAAGGTGAGTGGCACAAAAAATGAAGAACTCTTGAGAATCCTGAGTGGGAAGAAGGACAAACTCGTCAATGTCCATGCGTGCGATGAAGGATGCACGGGACTACTCAGCGATGAAGTTCTCCTTCATGCCCAGAGCTTCGAAGAGACGGATCTCTCAAGAGTGCCATGGCTCACGAACTTGAAGCCAGAAAAGGATGATGGAGGAGAGGTTGACGAGATGGCAGAGCTTCGAAAAGAGCAGGCTCGAATGGAGGCATGAGCTAAGGAAGCTGAAAAGAAGAAAGAATCCAAAGAAAAGAAACGAAAGCGTAAGAAAGAAAGAGAAGAGGGGAGAGTGACGAAGTCTCCCAAAAAGGAGGATGAGCAGCTTGAAGTTGGGCAGAGGCCGCTAGAGGACATCTTCAAGTTCACTGGAATGGATCCAGACCCCAGTCGGCGGGCAAAGATTTTGAAGAGGGCTCGCCGTTTGGGGAAGAAGGGCAAGAAAAGAAGTAAGAAAAAGGAGAAGGCCAGCTCTTCTTCGAGGAGATCAAGCTCTACCAGTTCCACTTCCAGCGACTCCAGTGACTATGGGGAAGAAGGCCTTTTCGAAGAAGAGAAGAGGTTAAGGTCCATCTGGAAGAGGTGCCCAGGCGCCTTGGCTGCCCGCTCCATCAGTGTGGGACATCAACAAAGCTGCTTTGCCCCCATTGTATACCCAATATGGGCGGCAAGTGGTCATGCAAGGCATGTCAGCCAGCTTACAGCAAGAGAGCCTGACAATTTGTCAAGGGCTGGATTTGCTGGCTCAAGGCTATGTGGCTTCGTGCATGGACTTGCTGAACCAGAGATTAAAATCTCTTGAAGCTCTGGGAAAGGGCGCCCATTGGACGCTCTGTCGACAATTCGAACTCATCAAAGTCGACGAAGGAGGAATGACCGAAGAACAAGAACGTCTTGGAGCTGCGCGAAGAGCCAAAGAAGAAGAGCGCTTGAAGTCGCTGATGAGCAGAGGACCAGGGGGCAAAGGAACTGACAGTTCAGGAGGAGGCAAGAATCGCAAGGGCAAAGACTCGAAAGGTGCCAACAAGGGATCTCCAGGTGAAAGTGGCAAAGGAAAAGGTCAAGGAGGCAGAGAGGAGAACCGAGGCCAATGGCAGAAGAAAAACGAGAAATGATGAAGGAGCCTTCACCCGGGCTCCCTAGGCACCGAGCAAAGAGAAAAAATGCCCAAAGCTTGCCCAGAGAAGAGGCTGAGAGGAGTGACAAGAGGTTGACAAAAGGAGAGGCTGCAGAAAATGTGACTGAAGAAGCTGAGGAGCATATCATAGAAGGTTTCACTATGGCCGACGTGGATCGTCTTCTTGACGAAGCTCAAGGAGAAGCCATGAAGAGCCAAGGGAGTCACTCTGGGTGGCGCTGGAGGGACTCCCAGC